TCTTAAAAGTTGGAAATACAAAACTGAAGGTACAGTAAGTAATTTGAGTCTGCTTATATGCTGTCCCCTCATAATGTGTTATTTTCATTTTCATATATGCTATAGTTAAAATATATCACCATCAGACTCAAATTGATCTTGGGAAAGTCATTAACTCATCTGAGCCTGTTTCTTTATAAAATGGCAACAACATTTTTTTTCTTAGGCACCCATTTTTCATATTTGCAAGAAGGAATAAAATCACAGATGTTATCTGAAAGTGTTTGGTAAACCCCATGCACTATACAAATACACATTATTTTTGTTACTCTGGGTCATCAAAATAATTAGTGGCAAACATTATCTCTGTGTAGACTGACAATATTCCTGTGTTCTCCACAGCAGCGTCTACGTGCAAAACTGTTTTATCTTTTTATGCTTTCAGATATTCTGGTTGTGCCTTAGCTATTAATATCATTTCCCATTTCTGGAAAAGGGAAATTGATCATCAAGCTCTTGATATGGAGCTAGACTTGACATCCTGATGAACATCTCAGGTAAGTTAAACTTCCCTATATACTGGAGAAGCCTAATCTAATTGCTGATGTCAAATACTTTTGCATGGTTGATGAATTCAAAGTACAGTGTGAGATAAGAGTTCATCACCTGTATAACAAGCAGCTGTCGCACAGGCTGCATGTTAGGGCAAGAGCTCAATTCTGCAAGTGCATTGGATATGGCCAAGAGACAGATGGCCAACAGGATGCTGGCCAAGATCTTCTTAGTGACCAGGGAACTGCCTTTTATTTAAGATGAATTATTAAAGTTTAATTTAATGAAAAATATCATCTACTTATGTCAAATGTTTGTCCTTTTTGCATAAATATTTGTCTACAATTTTCTGAAATTGTATATTTTAGAAAAAATTAAAAATTTTAACACAAGGTTCCACCAGTCTTAATCTGGGAAGATCCAAAATAGCAAGTCAGGTAGGTATATAATTGCATTGTGTTAAGGGAAGACCTATTTATCTTTTACTTTTAGGAAAAAAGCAACATAATGACTATTACACAAATTAATTAAGTGAAATAGATAACATAAAAAGAACAAAATAATATACCATGAAAAATTAGAAAACAATAAACTTGGTTTCAGCTTTGACTCAATTAGTAAATTCACTTGTTTATTCAAGTCAAATTTTAGTTATGGCCACACAGATTATAGTAACTTTCTGATATTCATTTCACATGATTTTTGGTAATTTTATTATGTGGCTGTCTGTAAGTATATATAAATATACAAATATGTATGAAACTTAAAAAAAAGTAAAATAAAACATGTAAGTTTAATAAACTATACAGTTATGTGAGTGCTTATATAATTATACATGTAAGTGTGTTTGCACACACTCATGTATCTGCACACAAGAATCCTGAAAGATAAATGGTTGTATAAACATGTTTGAACAAATTTTTGGAGAGGTATACGTGCAAAGAAACCTATCAAAAGCCATTCCCCTGACAGATGTGCTCCAGTATCACAGAGGACTCATCTCTAACAAGGAGCCCCAAGGTGCCACCTCTGTCAATGCTCAGTATCACATAGCACTCACAATAAGGAACCCTGATGAATTTTAGATGCTTAGCTATACACTGTGTCTGACAGAGATTAAAACTTGTTTAGTATAGTCTTTGTTTTCAGAATTTGGAGGAACATTCTAAATTTTTAGCCATTGTGGAGTCTTACAATGTTAGACATCCATTGTCGATAACATTACATTAACAAGACAACCCTGCAGGCCAAGGTGGTGCATACCTATAATCCCAGCAACTCAGGAGGCTGAGGCAGGAGGATCTCAAGATAGAAACCAGCCTTAGCAATGTAGTGAGATCTTGTCTAAAAACAAAAATATAAAAGAGCTGGGGAATATAGCTCAGTGGTGGAGCACCCCTGGGTTTAACCTCCATTACCAAAATAAATAAATAAATAAATAATAAAAATAAAAAAAAAAAAAAACTCCTTGCCCTGATCATTCTAGAAAAATAAGTTTACTTCAACAGCCAAACCAATGTTATGTATTTTTGTAGGAGCATACTTTCTAAATTTCTCTTGACTGTTTACATCTCTCCAGCTCCCTATCCCACCAAAAGTCTAAAATATTGGGCCACCTTATGGGGGACCACAGCAAGAGCCTCCCTCTGCTCTCCTTGCACATGTTACTAGAATATTCTCGCCCCATCCCCACATTATATCCAGCTTCAGCTCTACAAAATGCACCACTGATCATGTCATGTCACATGCTCAACAGCTTTCAAGTACATCCCATTGCTCTTGTGAAGTACCCTGTGCCTGAAATACTCTTTACCCAACTTCACTCCTAGTTTTCCTCTAGTTAATTCCTAATGATCCTTCAGATTTCAGTTTGGACCTCATGTCTTCTGTCATATGTTTGCAACACTACAAGGTGCTTTTTATATACAATGCACTTGATTAGCACTCATGTCCCCTAGAATAAGGGAAGCTCCATGGAGCAAAGGTCCCAAGGAAAATGTTGGATAAAATAAAAAGGCTCAGCCAGAAAGGCAATAGACATAGTTTGCCAAAGTACTACCTGGGTTCATCTTAAATCTTACAGTCACTTAGTAGTATCATTTCTTTTCTTACTTCTGTTCTTTCTTTCTTTTTTTTTTTAATTCGCACTTAGGATTGAACCCAAAGGTAGTTTACCACAGAATCACAACATTTTTTATTTTTTATTTTGAGACAGAGTCTTGCTAAATTGCTTAGGGTCTTACTAAGTTGCTGAGGTTGGCCTTAATTCTCTGATCTTCCTGCATCAGCCTCCCGAGTGGAGTTGCTGAGATTTCAGGCATGAGCCTCCATCTCCAGCAGTTGTTTCTTTAAGCTGTATAAGGGCTGGGGATGTAGCTCAGTGGGTTCGATCCCCAGGACCACAAAACAACACTACTACCAACAAAAGCCCAACTGTCTAGCTCCTACATGCTTCTTTCAATAAAGCACAGACTCCTGACAACAAAGCCTCAACTGGAAGAATGACTCACTAATAAAAACCATTAAGTAAATTTCCATAGCATCCCAAGACATTTTTGTACTGCCTGGCTGGTAAGAAGTTGTTGGTAGGCTCATGTGCTCTGTATCACTGCCTTTTAATTTAAATTTCCCTTTTAGGAGGTGTTTTTAATATCACTGGATGTGCAGAAATCTGTTCCGAATTTATATAATTTAAAATCAGTCTTAAAAGTCGGTGATTTATGAAGAACCCTGACTTGATGATGGTTTACAACATTTTTCCCTCCTGACAGGAGACCCATGCTGAGAAAAATAAAATGTCCCAGTTCTCCCTAATGGAAACAGAGCTGCACAGACAAGTGCAGCTGCTGGAGGTTGCTGACATCGCCAGGAAATTCTAAAAGCAAAACCAAGGTGGGGCTGGCAGATCCCTGGGCCTTTCATGTACAATCCTGAAACGTAAAACCACAGAATTTTTAATGTCAATGGACACCACTGTCAATATTTATGTAGGCACTTTCATGGCGTATATTACAGAGATTAAATAGAGGAATACTCACTTCGCAGGAGATCCCAGTGGAGATGGACTTATCTGCTACATACTTGGTTTCCAGCTTTTGGAGACGCCCTTGAGCTTATTATGCTATTTACTAATGATAACAAGCCTGTATATGTCTTCTGTTATGGGAGAATGAACTCGAACAAAATTTGCTGAACTGATTAATGTATATTTATGCCACAAGAGTCTCGGGCTGGATTTACAGGCCCAGAGTTGGTCCCTTCTTTCACACAGCAATCCATTTGACAATCATCAAGAACCTACTTGTTGACATTTTTTTTTTCAGTTTATGAGCTAGTAATGGACCTAGGAAGACAAGCAGTGAACAGTACCGTCCTATAGGTAAATTAGAATTTTCTCAGAATATACCTACAGGGAGCACCCATCCAATTTCTTTGAGGTGTTGAACTCATCGTGCTCTGACCTGGAGAGTTCTATCAAACACACAGGCATATCTGATATCTCAATGAATGTCATTTAATTAAGAGTAATTCGTATACAGTTAATCTTAAAAATTAAATATATGGCCAGGCACAGTGGTGCACACCAGCGGCTCAGGAGGCTGAGGTAGGAGGATCGCGAGTTCAAAGCCAGCCTTAGCAACAGCAAGGCTTCCTGGCTAAGTGCTCCTGAGTTCAATCCCCGGTACTCCACCACCTCCCCCAAATAAGTTAAATGCATTATAGACTATACTGAGGCATAATATTGTGGAATCAGAAATCTGACTGTAAACTCCTAGAGGGAAGCCATGAGTTTCTGTATAGGGAAGGCCATTGGCACATGTTTGTTACATTGAACTAACTGTGGGCTGGGGAAGTAGCTCAGTAGTAGAATGCTTGCCTGGAAATGACATGCACTATGCCCTGGGTTCAACCCCCAATATTGCCATCCTCCCCCGCAAAAAAATGAACTACCTTCCATATCTCATGAAAAGACACAAAGTTTCTGAATAAAAGTTGGTATGTATTTTGAAATCCGAGGAGTCAAGGATTCAAATGTGAAATGATTCTGTCCCTACATATTTCCAAATGCTTATCTGGTGACGCATTGTAAAGCAACATAGGACAAGTTCATCAAGAGTAATACTCAGCCCAATGTAAAGAAGATAAAAAGTGTTGGTGCCCTTTAAACTTGCCATTGGGGGCTCAACTAGATACCTTCCTGCTCCGTGTTCATTCATGCATTAGCATACGTTCATTGAGCACCTACTATCTATCAGGCACTGCCACAGGTGCTTGGGATACATCACTAATTAAAAAAAAAAAAAAAGCAAACTGACACTTAATTTATCATTCCAGACCTTTTAAATTACCTTTTTGGTTCCCATCCTGTGCCTATACTTGTGCAAAATATTAAGAACGTGACGAAATCCAAAAGGAAGCTGTTTATAAACATAAGAAAGCTGAAATTGTTCAGGTACTGTGTATCTTACCTTGTAGTGAGTTGAAGATGGAGAAGAGGTACATGAAAGCTATATTTAAGGGTCCCCAGGCAAAGAAAGCAAAACCCCAAGTCATGCCCAGCAGGAAGGTCAGGCTGACCACGCTGCGCAGGTTCCTCAAAACCTCTTCTCTCAGGGTCCGGTTGCTTCTCTTGCCATTCCTCCCACAGATCTGCACCATCACCACAATGAACATGGCGACGTTGAGGAAAAACATGACTCCAAAATACCCGGCACAGGCCACATAAAACACCACTGGGTCCTGAATCCAACAGCTCAGAGAGAGAAGAAGAAATGAGAAAGGAAAAGAGATTTATTACCTTAGACTGTGTACTTAAGACTTCTCTTGGCTTCCCTGGGCTGACTGCAGACTTCTCTCTTAAAAATCTTTGGGAAGTCATTTCACTTCCCTGGCCTTCAGTTTCTTCTTTGATCTTTTTATAGATGGTTTTTTGTTTGGTTTTGGATGGCCACCATCTTAATATCTAATTAGTTCAGTCAACATTAAAATGAAAACAAAGTGGCTTCTTGAATTCTAATTAGGTATTTGAACACGCTTGGTTGGCTCACCCCAAACTATGTTGGAACTTTTCTCTAGTGTGCTTTGTACTCTAAGAACGAGAACTTGAAGCACTCATTTTTGCTCATTGTTGTTATGGGGCATCCCTGTGAGATTTTTCTACAAAATAATATGGAACTAGAAATCTGCTAAGGGACTTTGGGGATAGCTTTTCTTGAGAGTCTCAGTTGGCAAGGCCCCTATTTATTCTTTGTATTTAAACATGAAAATGAGCTAGAGGCCCAGAAAGCTCTAAAGTTGTTGGCCTTTAACTCTGTAGACACAAATTCAGTGTCACTGAATGCCACATTTCTTATCATGTGAAGTTAATTCTTCCTTATTTAAGTCACAACTAAGTATGGATTCATTACAGCAAAGTAATTCCTATCAATATGACTAGTCTAGTTGGGACAACACCTTATAGAATTTTGACATTCTTACATGGACACTTATCATGCACAATTATAAAATTTATATTAATTATAAAGCATTCGTATTGGATGAAGAAGGATATACTATATATTTAACACTCAGAATGACATACAGATGAGAAAATGAAATGAATTTGAAAACTACTTGTGTAAAGTATGCTATGGGTAAAGTTGACCTGCATTATAATGTGTAGATGCCTGAGTACCCAATTTATGCTATGGAAATTCTTAGGTACAGTTGGATGAATGATTTAATGTGAATGAGTTTATTTTTAACTTCAAGTGTAAATGGTCATCATTTTGGAGTATTCCACACTGGAGCTTATCCTTCGCGGAGGCAAAAGCTGTCTTGAACATCTTTGGATCCTAGAACCTACTGGCATATAGTAAATACTCAATAAATGAGAAATTGTTGATGTCACAGCAGCAAATTACTAAGTGGCACTTTAAAGTCCTGTAAGAACTGGCTAACATACTTTTTAAGTTCCTTTATTTGGAAATTTTAACACATTTTTAGTTCCTTTATTTGGAACTTATTTTATTAACTTGTTTTATTTGTAACATATTTTATTAAGGTCACAAATAGCACTACTTATCCCTGAAGTAAACTTTTTCATTATACATAGAAGTCCCTCTAATCCTAAAATTTTCCACCTAGGTCCAACATTCCCCCTAGTTCCTGTGGGGTATTTCCAGTGTCATGTTAGAAATGTGAAAGAAAGGAAGACCATGAGGGAAGGGTGCACAGGAGACCACCGACAGGACGCAGCTGTGTGACCCAGGCAGGAAATGTTCATGGACAGGTGGTGCTATGGACCTCCTTGCAGGAGGAGAAAGCTCTTTGCTCGCTCAGCATCCATCTAATCCACAGACATGGAGCAGCGTGGTGTCACTGATAAGATACAAGAGCATACTCCCAAATCCAAACACTAGAAGACCTGAAGTTCAGCAAGCTCACTGTGTGAAGAAAATTTTCCAAATTATTTAAGAACTCCCTATTCTCCATCTTCTACATTTCTCCATAGCACTCACAATGACATTGATTGATTCACTGTAAGACACTGCTACTGAACTCTCCTGAAGATGAGTGTGAGCCTCAGGACGTAGGACTACTGTGGACTTTTCTCAAATAGGATGGGTCTCCTGGAGGGAGGAGGCAGTATCCTATGCTGCTCCTAAACTCCCTGGATGACGGAGTATCATGTTAGCATAGAAAAGCAGCTAGATAGCTGGGTCAAATGGTGGTTCCATTTGATCTAGCTTCCCACTCCCTGGTCTATACCCAAAGTATTTAAAATCAGCATACTATAGTAATGCAGCCACATCAATGTTCATAGCAGCTCAATTCACAATAGCTAAACTGTTGGAGCAACCTAGATGCCCTTCAATAGATGAATGATTAAAGAAACTGTGATATATATACACAAAGGAATATTACTCTGCATTAAAAGAGAATAAAATTATGGCATTTGCAGGTAAATGGATGGAGTTGGAGAATATCATGCTAAGCGAAGTAAGCCAATCCCAAAAAACCAAAGGCCCAATGTTCTCTCTGATAAGCGGATGCTGATCCATAATGGGGGCGGGGCATGGGAAAAATGGAGGAACTTTGATGGGGCAAAGGGGAGGAAGGGGTGCAGAGGGGGAGTGGGGGTAGGAAAGATGGTAGAATGAGACGGACACCATTACCCTAGGTACATGTATGACTGTACATATAGTGCGACACTACACTGTGTACAAGCAGAGAAATGAAAAGTTATGCTGCAATTGTGTACAATGAATCAAAATCCATTCTGCTGTCATATATACCTAATGAAAATTAATTAATTGATTATTTAAAAAAAAAAAAAAAAGAAAAGCAGCTTGAACACATCAGGACATTCAAATAAACCCATCTGCGGAGTAGCAGAGACCTTGACAATGTGATGCAAATGAACTAAAACCTTTTAAAACAAGAGCCTCACTCTGGCATGGGAACGTAATACTAAGTTTAAGGAAACAGGAGTATGTCCCTCACAAGTAGGTTCCCCAAGTTCATATCACTTACAATTCATCACCTTGCTCTTTCCCGTAGCTTTCTTTTCCATAGACTTCATTTTGATTTTTGCTTGCCAGAATAATGGACACCACCAAGGCAGGTAAACCTGTTACAAAAAGACAGGACACGCACAGCTCTTCAGAAGTATCTGGAACTTTTTTTTTTAAGATGGACAATCGCAAGGAAGTAGCAGAGCCCCGCCTCCCCCAACCACAGCACACAAACTTCTTAGAAGGGGCAACTTGGTTAGAACCAACCACAAAGTCTTTTTTGGAGTGGAACATGAAACTCATTTGGCAACAATTAAAGTTCTGTTTGCTTAGCTGAACTTACTAGAGGTCCCAAACCTGATTCTATCGAATGCAGCATGAGCCAATGTGGTTTTCATTAGGCCATCAGAGTTCAGGCAGATACAACAATGGCAGCTAATTCCCCCCTTTTTGGATACAGTCTTTAGAAAAATTAGTGTGGGGGGAACAACAGGGATATAAAATCTTTACAGTCTTCTCTTTTCTCTCTAGAGAATCAATACAATATTCATGTATGTATTTACAGGGGAAATGTATGCCAGCCCAATTCCCTGAACAAAGGTTTTACTGCCTCCTAAGGGGGTGCTGAACATCTTGGGAATGTCTCATGCTTCTATATTATCATTTGAAAATGATTTTTGAGAAAGTTCTAAAGGTTAGGCCCAATAATACAACCCAGACAAAGAAAGAAGCCAGAGGAGATAATTCCAAAGAGACTAACACAACCACTCTATGTCTGATGGAGTTATAGGCAAAAATTCTGTAAGTCTCCTAGCTGCACACAAAAAACTCACATTCTTCCTCTGGTTTCCACAACATGGGCATGTGTTTAGGGATGAGTACAGTGAGGAGTCGCAGCTGGCCTTTATATCAGGAGGTATAATGGAAATGTGCCGCGGTTGGCCAGCTGCTGCTTCAGACTTGGGTGGGCTGGCTCTGAGCTCAGGAAATGAGTTGGTGGTGAGTCAGGAGCTAAGGCTTCTCCTTTACTCCTGAATTTAGTGAGTACTGTAGAAGAAGTTTTTTTTTTTGGTACCGGGTATTAAACCCATGAAACCAGGGGGGCTTAACCACTGAGCCACATCACCAGCCACCCCCCACCCCTTTTTTTTGTATTTAGTTTAGAAACAGAGTCTCGCTGAATTGCTTAGGTCCTCACCAGATTGCTGAGGCTGGCCTTGAACTCACAATCCTCCTGCCTCAGCCTCTGAGCTGCTGGGATTACAGGCATGTGCCACTGTGCCCAGCCTGTGGAAGGGTTTTTAAAGATAGTTTGGAGGATTCCTTCCTTTGGATATGTATCTCTAATCCACATAACTCACAATGCTGGACTTTCTGTCAACAGTATTGTTCTTTAGAAATACAGATTTTTCTTATGAGAATTGGGCAATTTTCATGATAGAAAGAACAAAGTCAAAAAATTTTAGGAGGCTTACCCCAGCCTATGATGCAGAATTTTAGAATATACCGGCGAATATAAGTGTTGAATACTTTCACTAAAGCAATGTACATGTGAATGGCTTCCAGCCCCATCCAGGTAAAGGTTGCCAGAAGGAAGAAGTGGAGGAGAGCAGCCACTGCAACACAGAGTCCCTTCATGCCGAAGGAGGTGACCCAGCCATCCAGGAGGAAGGTCAGGTTCAGGAACAGCAGGGCTGTGCTCAGGTTCATCAGGATCTTGGAGGGATAATCCCTTCGCAGTTTTCTAAAAAAGGGAGAAAAATACACACACAGGAACACATATTGTACATAATTTTTAAATTTTTAATTTTATTAGCATTTTATTTAGCACTGTAGTTTTACATAATTGTGGGGTTCATTCTAACATATTCATAAATATAACATAATTTGCTCCATTTCAACACCAGTTCCTACTGGCTACTCTTCCCTCCTCCCCCTCCTGACCCCTCACCTCTATTCTGTTGATTTTCCTTCTATTAATTTATTATTTTTTGAGCGTGGGGGTAACTTCATATCTTCTGCAACTGTGTAATAGTTGAGAAAGCCATCTTTATGACATGGTTCCACTATGCAGAGGGCTAAAGATATTTATGAGTATTTGGCAGCCTATAAAAACTTTTTGAATAGTAATTTTATTACAAAACTGTTTCCAATTGTTCACAAAATTCCCAAATGGTTTTCAGATATCTTTTTTTAATCCAGGAAAAATTCTAGTACAAGAATGATATTTTTATTAAAAAACTAATGCCCCTAAATTTTTTGAAGTTTCTTAATTTTTAATGAATTAAAGATCCTCCTATTTTTTTAAAAAAAATTCCTGTTTCAGGACTGAGGCAAATACCTTCACCTTTTAAAAATATTTTCATCTGTACAATGAAGAAAGTACCAAGTACTTTTTACACTTTGTATTTACTTAAATGTCAATCATCTTTAACATATGTGAAACCATCTTATAAATAGAAGTATGGTAATTACAAATAAGATTCATAGCTGAAAAATTCATGTTGTGTGATAGGAGAAACCTGAACTTGAAAACTGAACCACCCGACATGAATCACAGAGTATATAATTGTTTTCAAGAGCCAAAGCAATTTTCTCTTTCATATTTGGAACAGTTAGCACTGGGCTTGGCAGACAGATAAACACTTACTCAAAAGCAACATATGTCAGCAGGGTTGCCGCTGAAAAGATGGAAGATACTCCACAGCCGATGTAGGTGATGAACGTGAGGACCTTCGTGTTTCTTGCGTCGATCTGTGAGGCGCTTCTTGGAAGGTCCTGCACAAGACATGGGAAGCAGCTGTTAAGAATTGTTCCAGAGTGGTGCTCTGTGCCACTAAAAGTTCACTGCTAACATCATACAGAATCTCAGGGGATAAAACAACAATGGACGTCAATGTTAAGATTGCCATCTATTGCACTCTTGTGGGTCACTATGTGAAAGAAAATTACTGACCAAAGCAGGTGCACATTGTATTTTTATCATTACTTTCTTACCCAAGCTCCTTGAATTCCAGCTTAAGGTGAAGAATAAAACTACAGGTCCCCCAACTGAAACTGGAGAGGAGGTAGCTGCCATGCATAATGTTATTAGACCCATTTATAATATTTACAGGACTGGGGCATGAGTACAAATGGAGGCCACGGGAGCCCATGTGGCCAGACCCTCCTACCCTTAGATTCCTTGCTGGGTTGGAGGTGCTCAGCCAGGAGACAGCCAGAAGCTGGTGGTGGCTATGAGGGTGTGGCTCTAAGGATGGTGTTGAGGCTTTTAATTGTGGTCAGTTTAAAGCTTGGTGTGCAGAAGTTGTGGTGGTTTATTTATTTATTTATTTTTCATAAATGAGAAGCCACTAAGAGGTTTTGGGTCAAAGCATTTTGATCCCTATAGACCTGAAAGGATGCAATTTACAGTGTTCGGGTTGTAGTGGAGTGAACATATTCTTTCAGATTAGCACACTTTCCAGCATGTTACTATGAAGCATTAATTTCAATATACTTAGGCAGACCTGCAAAGTCTAAACCTGGTAGGAAAATCTTCTTTTCTCCTTAAATAGGGGAATGAAATAGGGATAAATCTTAAGATCAACTACTCAATCCTGGTTGGAGGAGAAAGTAACTTCTATCATGCAAATGTTCAAAAATTCAGCATTCTTAGAGAAGGGATTTATTAAACATCCAGTTTAAACTTCTAGGTCTTATAACAAAAATTTTTCCTCCTCTATGTTATTTTTCTTTAATATTCAGCAAGTGTCAAAAAATCTCCTCCTGGGCTAGGGTTGGAGCTCAGTTGTAGAATGCTTGCCAAGCATGCAATGAGGCACAGGGTTTGATCCTCAGAACCACATTAAACAAACAAACAAATGAACAAACAAACAAATAAATAAAGGCATCATGTCCATAATACCTTTTTTAAAATTTTCTTTCACTAAAAATATTTTTTTTTAAAAAAAGAGAGAAATCTGCTCCTCACATAGGCATTGAGCTACTGGTATTTCTATATGTGTACATGTGTGCAAAATGAAAAAAAAGGAGAGTGAATTCCAGGTATGACTGATGCAGTAAGGAACAGGTATATTTCCTTTATGCACAAAGTGATGGAAATCAGCAGAAGCAGGTGCTGGAAGTCAGAGGGGCCCTTTCTAATCTTATTGATTCAAGAATTCCTCAAAACACTGGGGCACATGGGATTCCCATGGTACCTTGTAGGAAGTTCTAAGTCAGTGCCACTTGACTTTGGACAGGCTACTTCACCACAGTTCAGTCACTGCAGGACAGCATAGGCCAGAGAACTGAATCACAGTCTTGAGGGACCTCCATGTGATATGTTACTACCTCTTAAAAAAAAAAAAAAAAAAAAAAAAAAAACTCTGTTGCCATCTAGATAAGGCAATTGACTGGCAAACCTCAATTAAACCAAAATTTAAAATAAAAATTAAGGCTTTTTACTGATCCCCATTTACACGCAATTCTCATGCTGTTTTGAACTTTTGGAGAATGGAAATATTTATCCCTCTGAGCCAGTCAACATGAAAATACACTAATGTTCAAAATATGAAAGTCAGTTTTACTACAGATAAATGTAGTAGAGGACATTGAATCCCTCGCACATTTGTAGATTGGAAGATATGATTCTGGGTGAATGTGTCATGGGAAAAATTTAGATTCAGAAAAATCTATGCAAATGAATAAAGAGTTTGTAAATTAAGAAAGACTCTTAGCAAAATCTTGGTGGTCTGGAAAAGCTGAAAGGATATGAACACATGGCCAGAAAGGATGAATTTTGGCAAGATTTTCTTAAAGCAATTTATAATCCTATAAAAACAGTCAAGGTATAAAATGGAAAGATAATGCTAAAGATGCATATTTCCATATATATAAAAAAATTAACTGTTTAATCAGATGGCAACAGAAAAAATAATGTACAATCATGTAGAGTGTTTTTACTCCAAACACAATTTAAATAATATATGAAGGAACTGACCACTTAAAATAATGTGTAGCCAAAATCTGATTGCATATGAACTATCTCTTAATATTCTCTTTTGTTACTATTATCTATTTACCTAATATTAGACTTAACAGATGCAATTATGTGTTGTGTCTCTCTCTCTCTCTCTCTCTCTCTCTCTCTCTCTCTCTCTCTCTCTCACACACACACACACACACACACACACACGGTTAAAATATTTAAATGAATTAAGTTAAAGCTCCTATACCTGAATGAATAATTGTTGAAAATAAGTATTTTCTGAAAACTTCCTCTTTTCACTTTTAAAGAAAAAAGAATATGGAAAGAAATATAATTTTCTTTCTAGATTGCTTAGGGAAAATAATTTTATAGTTTAATTATTCATTTTCATGCTCTGGCAGTAAAGAAAAAATATTTGTATTTTGAGAACATTAAAAAGTTACTTTCTGTGACTTACCACCACCTTTTTCAATGATTTGCTCTCATCCCTGAGAGCACTAATGTCCTGGGTTGTCAGGAAAATTACAATTTGCAGAATTGCCATGTGACATCGGCCATTTGCATAGGCCAAGTATATTCATGAGCCAAATGCTACATCCCACAGTTTCTCACCACTTCCTCCCTGTCCCCACAGGAAGAAGTGCCTAAGATTTAAAGGAGGGGGATAAACACAACCTCATGTCTGTGATTTCAACTGGAAAAGCTTTTTGACTCAGCTTGCACTACTCCCATCTCCTATTTAAAAACAAATGTGGTTGGTTCCTTTACAGAAACCATACAGAAACAATGGCTGTGATAATCTGGATGGCAGTCTGGATTCCAGAAGTGTGTGCAAAAACACTAGTGTACCAGATAAAAGGGAAAATGCAAGTCTATGGATAAACACAAATAAGTCCTTGGACATGGGGTGAAAATTTGTGGGATTAAAAAAACAAAGATGTGCTCTAATTTTTGTTTAAAATTGTTGAGCAGGCTGGCCAACAAGATAAAAAAGAAAAAAAAAAGAGCCATGGGAAAAAAGGAAGGAAGAAAAGAAGAAAAGAATGATACAAGGCCTGAGAGCCAGAGAAACACCACGCCCATCATCACTAAGGTCTCTTCTGAGGTGCTGCCATCTCCAGGAGGAAGATTCCCTGGCACAGAGCCTGGTACAGAATGACAGACTGAGTCATAACATAAGAAAAATTTTGATCAAACAATTCACAGTTCTCTTCCAACATTTTCTTCTTTAACTTTGCCTCCCTCTTATTCCTGTCTCCTGTTTCCAAGACTCTATTTCTCTCTTAACAGAGATTTTCTTATTTCTGGGATTATCTGTCATCACTGTCAATACTGTAAAAAACACGTAGAGTTCTATAATTACTTTCTTATATTTTTAATATATGTTCTCTACTAATTAGATTTTTCTTTAAGAATTAAGATTTAGGGTATAGATGGGCATGATCAGGAAAAAAGATTCTTCAAACACAAAATCTAAAAAGAAAAGTTTAAAAAAAGAAAGAAGTATGCCTTCTGAAATTACATGATGTCAAAATGAGCTTAGAAACCCCCCTCACCATCAGGACTCCGAAGTGTGTGAAGTGGTTACACAGGCAGATGGTCTCGCTTGCATCTGAATCGTTGTGCGCAATGCACCCTGACGTGTTCCATCCTCCAAGACTTTCTGTGGGAGGAATCAATAAAGAGAGTGAGAGCAACAGCATCTTCTCCATAAGGAACAGGATGACTTTCAGAAAATCTGCCTCAGCCTCATCTGGTCTGTCTTACTGAGTTTATCTGTGCAATGAATGCCATTCATAAAGTTACCAATATGTAAAATAATCCCGGATCCTGGACTCACAGGAGGCTAGTGCTGAGCAGGCAGTTAGAGACAATCTAGATAGTGAATCTGTGGAACCTGTGTTTCACTGTGTTCTACTGGAGTGTTTGGGGGTTCTGCAAATGTTTGAGTTTAATTGTAACATAATTGAAAAAAAGTTTCTATAAAGAATGCTCCTTTTCAAATGGGCTACATGCTCATGAACTTTCTGGAGACCAATACTGCTCCATAGGATGGGTCTGTATTTTTGTGAAGCCCTAAGAACAAAGGAAGTCTGCTTTCTTAGAATATGTGATTATAAGCACAGCAGTCAAGCATGGTGATGACTTAACTACGCGTGGTTTGAGTGTATCCTTTCTGACTTTAATAGTATAATATAGAGTATGAACAACTCCTATGATCAAAATATGAGATCCATTTATTTGAACAGCATGTAAAGATATAAGGTAATATTTAACAAATGTATATGATGAAATCAGGGTCTCCAAACTGTGCAACCAAACCACAAAACTGTCCAGCTATATCAAGGATTGTCCAAAATAAAAAAGAGGTTTGACCACACTTTGGGGCACTCTCTGTCTTTCTCTCTCACTCTAAAAATGAATATTACTGGCATTTAACAAAGTATCCAGCATGTTGCTGGAACAGATTTGGCCACGATAATTCCAGTGGGGGACCCTGATGGAAGGGGACATGGAAGGTACAGACACATGAAGTTCATCACTTATGGCTGGAGGCAAATCCCCTCAAGGAGATTTCCACAGCTGCAGCCTAATGATGTGCTTATTGCTTTACTTTGACAGCCTCTATTTGTTTGCGGTGTTGTAGAGGCTGCTCATTTCTTTCCTGTAATCCACGTCCACTATCACCATCCCTATCTTTATCTTCCTTGGTGTTTTCTCCACCCACCCTAACTTGAAATAGAAGCTGGGTTTCTAATCATATGACTTGTGCATATCAAGTAATATCTTCCTATGTATCCTAGAAGAATAACGTCAAGTGTGTGCCTACATTCAACTAACAGTCACAACAAAAGTCTATACCGTATTTGACAAATGACTGAAATCAAAGAGTTGTTTCATTAAAAAAAAAAAGAAGTCAAGTATGCCCATTTCTTCTTGTAGTGTCTAAAAAGTCACATAAATTAAAATTGACTTAGTGATATAAACTGAAATCTGCAGTTCAGTTGCTCTTACACTTACATTGTGACTCATTGTGGTTTGGAGTGGAATTAAAGGAAATGGAGGTGTCTAATGGTGTTTAAAATTCGTTGTTATCTATATTAACACAACCAGTATTTTAACACTTACTGTTTTTGTTCAAATCCCAGAAGGCACAGATGGGACGATGCACTTCCTATATCAACACAAGAATAAACATGTGAAATTGTGTTTAAAATAACTTAAAAAGCACATGATTGAAATGTGGCAAAGAAGAAAATGCTACAGGGTTCACAAAGAAATAGATCAGCATGAGACATGCCAATACAACCTGAAAACCTGAGGTGATCTATAGAGGATATTCTCTCAGAATGGAGATCCCAAGGGAAAATCAGCTACAACCTTAGAAACCTTATGAGGAATCAAATCACCCATTTTTTTCCTGCAGGTTACTACATGTCCCATCATTAAATACTGAATACATCCACTACCATTCCTAATATTTAGCAAAGCTCTTTATACTATAATTTCACATTCTTCAAAATTCTTCTTTGTGTCTGGATATATACAGAAACAAACTGAAAGAAGCAACTCAGAGAGATATTTATACATCTGTGTTCTTCACAATAACCAAAAAATAGAAGCAACTCAAATGTCCACTGATGGACAAATGGATACACAAATTCTGATATATACATATAATGGAATATGATCTGACCCTAAAAAGAAAAAGAAATTCTGATGACAGATGCTGCTTTATGTCTTGAAGACATTCTGCTAAGTGAAATAATCAATTTATTGTCCCAAAGGACAAATACTGTACGATTCCACTTTTTGAGGTACCTAGAAGAGTCAAATTAATAGTGATCTAGAGTTGAGCAGCGGTTACCAGAGGTTCTTGGAAGGTGAGAATAGGGAGGTAGTGTTTAATGGGAATGGAGTTTCAGTCAAAGAAGATGGAAAACTTGTAGAGACGGATGGTACAATGTGAATACACTTAATGCTACTGAACCGCACATTTAAAAATGATAAAATGGTAAATTTTGTCAAGTATATTCCACCACAGTTTTTTAAAAATCCTCCTTTATAGAGAAAGGGGCTGATAAACAAAGAGGCCACAAGGTCTCTTTGGAGAAGGTCTTCAAGGATCCTCTCCAAGGATTCTGCAATGACTTAACTCCAATTGTTAGCCCTTATCTGTCTGCTCTCTTCCTGCCAGACAAATGGCAGGATCATCACTGGGGCCCCCTAAAAAAGTGGGAAAACCTGTTTCCAGGGCACTGAGGACAGTTCAATAAGGCAAGAGAAGTAACATTTGCCAAGATTTCAAGCAACTGCTAACTCCTTAAAGAATAAATCTTCCCTTCTGTTGCTCCTTGACATTCCCAACTGCAGTTACTTTTTACTTTAAAAATATAGAGACACAACCAAAACCTCCTATGGTAGAATGGTGCAAGATATTAGATCCAACTTATTTGAAATGATGTGTGTCATTTTTTAAGAACAGTTATCTTTTTCTTCACTCCCATGCTTTCTGGTTCATGAGTCCTAGGTAAGACTAATTCCCACACTATGCCCCAAGCTGATGATACTCACGGTGACCGCAGAGCACTGCCTGACTGGTGGCCTCCCTTCTGGAACACTGATTCTTGCCCTCATAAAAAGTGCCAGTTACTTACTAACATGTAAAAGGAAAAGGCCCACAATTCTCTGAAATAGTTTGCACTGCTCAATCACAACTGGTAGCATTTTCTTACCTGAGTTCTTGTATGTTTGATTTTAATTTGAACGGGGTCCTTTAGATCCTGGATAGTAATGTTTCCAATACTGCATGCCATCACATAACTCACTAAGGTTTTTTTTTGGGGTCCCACATCCTTTGGAAAAAAAAAATTGCGTGCCTGAGTCAGAAGTACACACTTTTATTTTGCTTCTGTGCTCCAAAATAAGCAAACTGTCAGCAATTTTTACACTTAAGATCTTCGACTCTAGAGCATCCTGTTTATAACATAAAATTGCTGGCTTTCCTGAAGGAGCTGTGCTACTTCCCTTATCACAATAAATATATTGAGGGGGCATTATGAGCCAGTATAATAAGGTAGTATTCATAAAACTCCATTCGTGATCGGGGTAACTGATGTCAGCCAGTTCATATCTGGAACAATGCAAACCCATAAATAATATAAACTCATGAACAAGTGTGAAACAATTAGTTCATTTCCCTACTCTAGAAAACAGATGAAGGTTTTTTTTTTTTCCTTTAGAGAAGTATGAAGGAAATTTGGTGTGAAAAATAAAAAGCAATTCATCTTTTACATCTATGCCAAGAGCCTGGCCTGTTTACTAACCTATACCTAAATGTAGTTCCACTGGATGCAAGTCCCATGCAGAACTTTCACCTTCTTCTGTGCTGTCTACATGTCAGCACCTGCAGACTTCACTGCAGTGGAACCTGTCCTGCAAAATGACTCAGACCAACAGGCTGTCTCTCCAGCAAGTTCTGTTTTATTTTCCTCCCTTGTGTTTCCTGTCAAATCTCCTAAATTTCTCTCCATACAACAGCTTATAAATCAGCTGTTTTGGAATAGCTTTAAAATGTCCTAAATTCCAAGCAAAATTCAGCATCCAAAATAGAGGTTTTTATTAATTTTATATGGTTATCACTATCAAAATGCTGGCTATTGGTTGGTGATACCAGACTTCTACTTAAAATGGATCTATACCTATATATTTGCCTATTATTCTAGGATAGATATAATATACATATATGTATGTATCTTGTCTATTATGCTTATATGTATGTATGTATGTACATATGGATATACTTATATCTTGCCTATTATGTTAGTACTATGCTGTTAATTTATTTTTAAAAACCAAAAATACATTTCCTAATAACAACTTTGATAAGGAGATGCCAAATGAGAAGGAAAAATGAGAAGACTCAAAAGAGTGACAGATCCTTCTCACTCTAAGAACTCTCCTAAACTACTCCCATGAACCAGACCCCTGACCTTCTTCTATCACTTTTTTTTTTTTTTTTTTTGGTAAAGGGGATTGAAACCAGGAGTGCTACTTAACCAATGAGCCATGTCAAAAGCCTTTTTAAAAATACTTTATTTAGAGACAGGGTCTCACTGAATTGATTAGGACCTTGCTAAGTTGCTGAGGGGCTTTGAACTCGTGACCTGCCTGCCTCAGCCTCTCAAGCCACTAGGATTACAGGCATTCACCACTGTGCCTTAGCATCACTCACATTTTGTGATGTCTCCTGTGTACTTTAATATTGTTTTTAAGGTGATATCACTATAATCCTCAAATTACAATAATTTTAATAAATACAGTTGTATGCATCTATAGTTATAGGAGCCTCAGGGTAAATCATGTTTTTAATAAGTGATATTTATATGAATTTCAAAAGTTTTATATACCTTGTACCTAAAAGGTTCACAGGTAAAATTTTAAATTTTTGAAGCGATTTTCTATCAATGCTTCCATGGCATTTTTTTAAATCTGTAATCTACTTGGCCATTCCTCTCTGTGTGATGCATAGAATGGATTTATTTTAAAAACAATTCTCCTGCCCTTGAGACATGATTTTCTCTTATACAGACCACACTGTTGGAATACTGTGGTATCTTTAATGTAACAGGTTTTAAGAAAAGCAGTGAAACTGCTGTATATGGGCTGTACTCTTAAAGGCAATCAGAGGTCACCAGCGTTTGCTGGCAGTGGACCTTCTAGTATCTAGAACCAAAGCCAATAAAAATGATAATATGTGCTCAGCACAATGCCACCCTACTCTGCGGATGTGTGAAAGCCAAAGGTCTCTTGAAATACTAATGGGAAAACTGATTAAAGCCAAGAATGCTGCTCATTATATAAACAGTGCTTCCTGCTGAATTGAAAAAAAAGTCCTTTCCTTTGGTGTGCAATTTCTTTAATTCTGAAGGCCTACAGGACTGAGGAATGTAAAATATTTAACAAAGGGAATAATAAATAGTAGCTTCTTTAGTAACTCAATTTTTAATTCCATTATGCAACTTTTAGCCTATTTTTTTATTAATTTTAAAAACTGGAATAAACTTATCCTATTAATAAGCACATTATTTTCTAAAATAAATTTTTAAACAATTGTATTAAAACCTTTTGTTTATAAAAACATTTTTTTATTTTGACAATAAAATAGATTAATTTTTCTAATACCTTCTGATGTATTTGGAAGAAATATGAACTTTAATTTTTATTTTTTAACAAAGAAACTTCAGTTGCCATTGAAAAATAATTATTTAATTAATGCTTACCTGGAAAAGTCCAGTTTTGTTGAAGAAAGTAAACTGTGCTCTTCTAACTAATACAGAATCTTCTTGACTTAAGTTTTCAAGTAAGTTTGGAGGCAAAATGACAGAAGCCAGTGGATCCACTTGTTCACTCTCAAAATCCATCTGTCACACACACATATTGGTGGAGTGAACACAAGGACATAGTAAGGATACTTCACTCCACCCACTGACTAAGGAGAGAGAACAACTGCAAACACCTAGTTAGCTAGAGCTGGGGCTCCCTGGACCTCTATGGCAGCCTCTGCAGCTCCTGGATAAACCCCCACAGGCGATCCAGAGTCTCAATCAAGGTTTACAACGCCAGACAAAGAAGAAAACACATTGACTCTGACTAAGGAAACCTGAAATCTACAAACTGGTCAATATTGACCTGTATGAGGATTGGATCTAGCCTATCAGATTCTGAGTTGTTTTTAAAACACTTAGTGAAAGAGACTGAAGTTAACTTGTTGGAGTACAGAAACTGAATTATCTCTGTCAAGAGGCCACAGCTGAAATTTTCCAAACACTCTCAGATATCATTTGTACTGAAACCATAGCTCAAGCTACAGAGTGTTTTCTGAGTTTTCACTCAGTGTGAAGAAAAAAAAAAAAAAGTTCTCCTTGAACCCTGGGCTCCAGACATTTTTCTATTTTTAGTGTAGTCTATTTCTATAGCTAAACAACTATCATGCTCCATGTAGACATTTCGCCAGGTAAAGAACTAGGCTGCATTTATTCTGTTTGTTCTTCTGGCAAGCGTTTTGGGGCACATAGGAACCACTTGAAATTATTTGCTGAAGTGTGACTTCAACATGTCCAAGAGGCTCTCTGTTAATCTGGCCCCAGCTCACTTGTCCAGTCTCAGTGTCACCTGCTATTTACAGACTTTTCTGTCATTATTTCTTGAAGTGTGATCCTCAGGCCAGCAGCACTGGTAATATTCAGGAACTTGCTCAAAAGTGCAAATTTCAGGGTCTGACCCAGGACCTATTCCATTAGAAGCTCTTGGGGTAAGGTCTAGCAATTGGTTTTAATAAGTTCTCCAGGAGATTCTAATGTTCAGTTTAAGAATCACTGGTAAAAAGGTTTTCACTTTCCAGAGTCCTTAATAGACCTCTTTCTTCTCAATGGATTGATTCTCGGTGCCCCAATATGGCAGCCCCAACTCATGTTTTAACACCTGGCTCCATGTCACCTCTCATAGATGATGACCTCTTATTGTTCAGCTATGAAGGGGCACCTTCTCCCTGCTTCCACAATACTTGTAGCTGCTGATAGAATTAAACTTAGCCAATATTCAGACCAGCTTGCCACCTCTTGGGCATACATGTCCTTGAAGTAACAACTGTTAAAGTGGTCATCAAGTTTGTATCTAATTAACTAATTAAAATTATAGAAAACTGTGGTTTATTACCTGGAAATATGATTCATTATTGCTTGGAAGACCAATGCTAAAATTTGAAATTGCATTCGTCTCTGGGTTCAGGGACGATATTCCAAGAGCCAAATTCCGAGTCGCAATATTCACATGCGGGGTGCTACTTAGGTCTATCTTAAAGGCCAATTCATCAATTGTTTTTAAAGCCCTAAAGAAATGACAATGATGTCACTGTTAAGTACACAATGTTTTAGATACCTGACCACATGTCTTGATGCATAGCAAAATACAAACTACATAAAATTATCTTAAATTTTCTGATAATAACTTAAATATCCACAAAGTTACCCCAAACCATAATAATATCAGTTAAAACATAGAATCACAGTGACAGATTCATCCTCAAGAGAAATATCTTCTTTAAGGGAAACCAACAATTAAATAATCCTGAACAAGTACTGTCTTTCGTTTATTTTGGCCTCTCTTTGCTCATAAGAAAAATACCCTCCCCACTTTATAACTTAGAAAGAATCAAAGGAAACAAGATGATGTGAAAATATTTGTAATTTATTATTTTGAAGACAAATTAACTTGGAGAATACCTTTCAATGAATATAAAATTTTCATTAAAGAAATGTGGTTGAAAAGAAGGGAACAGAAAATAATTAAACACTTTAATATTAACATATTAAGTGAAATTATTGGACACAAACTGGATTCTATAAAAATAGGTCCATTTTCACCTGCCTTAGGCATTTTCACTTTAAAAGTCAAACAATCACATAGCTGTGGCAGTTTATGCCCAGTTCACAGGACAGTAGACTTACATTAACCAAGTAATATCCCTCAGATTAGTAATCTTTCAGGAATTTTCAAATAGACAAACGATATGCTGATTTACATATACTGTTTGATAACAACTCTAATCATTTTGTAAATTATTTCTCTTAAAAGAAAAAAAAAGAACTTTTTGAAGTTCCCTTTTTGAATGACCTTGGGGACTGTCTATGCATCTTCCAGAGATTTTAATTATGAAGGCAGGCCACAAAGTCCTCAGGTAGGTTTGAAATTATACAACACATTTATTCAATAAATTTTACTCTTCAAGAAAAAAAGAGAGAGGTACTTACTCAGAAGAAGATTCAAGCAAGTCACTATCTGAACTGCTTAAGATATTAGAAAATATATTCATTAGAGTCGAGCCGAGTGTTAAATCAATGTTTTCTTCACTATTCACAATTCTTTTGACCAGTTCTACAATGTTGGTGATATTGGCTGAGGTTAAGTTCTGGGCATCAGCAGTTAAATTTAAAATCTGATTAGCAACTTCATTTACTTCCTCTAAAACAAACAACAACAACAAAAAAAAAAAGGCTGAAGAAACAACATAGAAAATTTTACTGCACATTTCATTTTAAGCATGTCCAGGGATCCAAAGCATGGTGTGATATTTTACTTTATAGCTGAAGCAGGGTTCCTGTGTGTACTCCCTTATGATTGTCTGCACAGGGTAACAATACAATATTTATACACAGACTAACTTCTCTCTTTAGTAAGACACAAAGACATAAGCAACTCTAAGAGACCAGTGTTCACATATTGTTCTAAAAGAAATACTCCAGAATCTCTGAATAAGCACGTTTGCTGTTTGACAATACAACAAAACACTGATAGTAGTAATTGTGTATGTTTGAGGGGGTGTATTTATGCATGTGTGTGTGTGTGTGTGTATGTGTATACACACATATATATTATATCTACACATATATATTTTAAAGTCTTCTCTAAGATTTCTTCACTATTTTAGTCTTATAGAATAAATAGAATATAAAGTTAGAATGAGAGAAGTATGTACTTTCTACCTTAAGAAAAACAGTCATATGTCTAATTTTTAGTATTAAAACAGTAGCACACAGAAGAACATGTCTGAAGAAGGTGAAAGCCATGAGGCATAAGGTCATTTCATTTTGGGAACTGAACAGAAGTTGCTCACTTACTTGTACAGTTGGATAAATCGAGGGGCCCCCACTCGGCTAATGAAGTGTTGGAAGGATTGCGGTAACTATGAAACAACATCAAAAAGATATTTCAAATATTTGACATAAATGAGAAGACAGCTTATGATATCAGTTAATAAGCTCTAGAATTTGTTTTGATATCTAGGTAAGTTCCATCTGAAAATAAAGCTGTAATATGTTGAAATAAAGTGCATACTAAAAATCCTTACTGGAAGAAAGGAGTAGCCTACATCACAGAATCAAAATACAAGCAATATCCTGTATCCTAACCTAGAATACATTGGTCAAGTACTGCTTTAAGAACTTTATAGATACATTTTGATTTTTATTTCACATAACTCTGGAAATCCATCTTTTATAGATGAGGAAATGGACTTAGGGAAGCCAAGGAATTTCCCAAGGTCTCCAGCCAGAAAGAGGTCAGGCTACATTTTAAATTCCAGTTCATCGATCTCTAAAGCCTTCTTCTTTCAACCAAGTGTCAAAGACAGCAGTTGTCACACTTAGGCAGTTTCCGTTTCTGAATTCCCTCCAAGGAAGCTCTAACCGGGAGTGGGGTAGAGGGTGAAGAACTAGATTTGAGACTAGCAGTTGGATGAATCCCTACAATTATCTTGTTTCTCAAGTTTTTTGTTAGACATTCAGGGAAACTTCATATTCTGACAGTCTGTATCAGCAGACTGCTAAGCCTGGATCTTGTCTATTCCCTCTTTGCTACTTCACTTCAAACAGTTAAAAAGTCTTGGGATTTTTAATTGCATGTTCCACGGCTACAAGCTGGCTAGGGTCAGCTATACACAAGGTACCTGCCCTGGAACCACCCTCTGTTTTCCAAGTTCCTAGATCTTTCTTTAGATATGTCTTGAGTTTGTTGCTGGGAGAAAAATGCTGCCTTTCTGGACAACCTGCTAACCTTATCTCTACCCCCCTGACCCAAAAGAGCACAATTTAGGCACATACAGAGATTCCTGCCCTTTTTCCCAATCAACAGTACTGCTGAGCAGTACATGTACCCTGGGAATATGAATAGCATGGAGCTTGGTTGGTACAAGTCAATGAAAATATTACCATATCCGTGTAACAGAAAAGCCAGGCTTGTCTGGACACGGATGGCTGTACTCAGAAGGTGGGATAGCTGGCCAGTAAAAGCCTGTGGGTTCCTCCACCGCAGCACAAATACCTGAGAGAAATGAGAATGAGCACGAGAAATATCAGTCCATCCTTTGATGTTAAAGGTGCATGATGAAAACAAAATACAATCCTGGTAATTAGGAATGCATTTCATGTAATGATAAAATACTAGGGTTTTATGTTCAGAAACTGTAAAAATTTACAAATAAGGAAGAATACACATATAATACATTTCAGACACAGAAATTATTGCATATTATAAAACCATCCAATAAAGTGCCTAGAGTACACATAAACAGTAACATACATGTAAATTAGCATAGATTAGTAACATAAGTTTTATTCAAAAAATAAACACTACAGAAAATGAGAGTAAACCTGAAAGATTCAAAATGTAATGATCTTTGTTAAAGTGGAAAGCTTATGGTGCATTCATTGATGGTTTCATCATTGAGTTGTGAACATATTTTATAAATATTAAAATTAGCTTCTCTGCTAATAATCTACTGCCAGGAAGCTCACTGAAAGAATGGCAAGAAGGTATCTATGAGCACTGTCCCCTATCTTACCCTCACTTCTTCATTGTCAAACACTTCACGATATAAATGACTCAGATGTTATTTTTTTTAAAAAAAATCAAAGTAATAGCAATATATCAATAACTACAATAAAACTTATATTTCAATGCTTAAAATCACCAAGTTATACTGGAGTTCTGGGAACTGGTATCATAGTCACCAACTGAAAATTCAAGTAACTTTCCCATTGTGGCCTGGGCTTTAAAATGACCAGTTTTAGTTTTGTTGTTGTTGTTGTTTTGCATTTGAGCATTTGATGGAAATTTTTCTCTACAGACCCACTTGAAGAAAAACTATAAAATTTAAATTAAATGCTATAAATTAAATATCCAAATATGCAGAGAGGGGTGTTCTGTGATTCTCCAGCCTCTGAGAAGGGATAGAGCTGGCCCCCAGGGTCCCTCAGTCATTTATTAACTGCCATTTGTCACATTACTTCTTTATGGAGACTCCAGTGTGTGAAAGGGCAGCTGCTGTGGTCTCCCCACACTAAGGAGCCCTGTTTGTTAGGAAGCGTTTCTCCACAGTGGCTCAGAAAGTGGTCTTCATCATCATCACCACCATCATTATCATCCTATGTTGACATGGTAGAGATGGGAAGTTCCTCATAAAGATAGAAAGGGCTTTATTCCCCTGTGATTCTGGCCTCAGGCATAAGCACCCTCTTAGAGCCAAGGAGTTCTCACTTCCCTGCTTAGACTCTGAGTGCACAGCCTGGAAAGCATCATTTTTCTTTTCTCCTGATTTCTATATAGTACTTAATCACAGCACTGCTGTATTCATATAATAATATTAGAACAATTATTTTTGTCATCTATATTTTTTAATAATTCCTTTAAAAAATTCCCATCAATAGGGTTGGGCTGTGGCTCATAGAGTGCTTGCCTAGCATGTGAAAGACCCTGGGTTCAATCCTCAGCACCACATAAAAATAAATAAATAAAGGCATTGTGTCCAACTACAACTAAAAAATAAATATGTTTAAAAAAATCCCATCAAGTTCCATTTAATTTTTCATCTACTCAACAAGTATTCAAGTGCTGAGAAATATTTTGGGTTTTGAGGGAAGATAGAAGTAAAGGTATTTTAAAATGAAGAAGTGGTCTCCTTCTAGAGGAAATGACTATTTGAAGAACATACACATTCAAGAACAGGAACAAGTCTCATAGCAGACAACAGTCTTCTAACAGGTATGATACTCTGGGTGTCCAGACAGCATGAAAAGGAAGCTCAAGAAGGTGGTGATGTATGTTTACACATGATGAGATCAGAAATGTCTTCACAAAAGAGGTGACCTTGGGACTGCCTTTAAAAACAGGCAGGTGATCATAGAGTGGACAGTGAGAGAATGTGTGCACAAAGGTAGAGAGGAGTTGTACGTGAATGTGACATATTAAACAGTAGAAGCAGCACCACAGTCTAGGTCCAGGATAACACCTGGATTTCTGGCCTATCTGTGGAAGACAGTGGTGTCATTGCTGGAGACAGGGAACACAAGACAGAGAGATGCTTTATAATAAAAAAAAACTTCCCTTTGCAAGATCTACCTGGTTACGAGTTCTCATATGTTCAGAGACACACTCTTTCTTTAATCCCTAAAGTCAATGACAGACAAGTTATTCTGGCATTTTGCTCATATTCTTAGTCTTTTCACAGTATGTTCCTAAGATAAATATAAACTCTCATATTCTTGGTTTCCATAGATTCATAGGTATTGAGCTGATCAGTGGATTCCTAAGTACTGAGCTGACCGGAAGATTCACAGGTACTGAGCTGACTATTTGTTAGACTAAGTCACTCATTTGTAATGATCTCCAATATAATAAATTTTATCATCAGAAAAAAAAATATTTTTACACAGACAATAACACATAAAGGAAGAGTCTCAGTTAAACATGAATATATAGTCACATAAAACTGTAAGCAGTTGAAGTCACTTACCCAGTTGCCTCACATTCACCGTGTAGAGCCTCAGGCCCTCATTCAGGGACTCATTATTTTTTAAAAGTTTCTGTTGAATGGTTTTTCCTTCTAAGTTGGCATTATTGGTAGCATTGTAAACTAGAAGGGCCCAAATCATCAATCTAGAAAAACAGTGCAGATAAAATTATCGTTGGTTGGTTGTTTTTTGATGCAAAAAAACAGAATATGTGGATACAATGACCATGAAATGTCAAGACTGAGATGACTACCCACTGTGCTCTCAGGCTTTCCCTGATGATGCATGAATTATAACATTAAAATATTTCAATATGAATGGATGTTATTTTACATGTATATTTATATCACTTCATTTCTTTTCAGAGATATTTTAACATTTATTTGTAATGCTATTTTGTAACATACACATAAGAAAGAAATAGTGTGGTTAATCCTACACTATTGCTTTAAGGGAAAAAATAAGGTCTTTAAATAAAAAATTAATATTTCAAATAGAATATTAGAATTTTCCATCTCCATGAAACATTCTCACATGCTTCTTTTTTTTTTTTTTTTTTTTGAAGAGAGAGAGAGAATTTCAATATTTATTTTTTAGTTTTCGGCAGACACAACATCTTTGTTTTTTTGTATGTGGTGCCAAGGATCGAACCCGGGCCGCACACATGCCAGGCGAGCATGCTAACGCTTGAGCCACATCCCCAGCCCCTCTCACATGCTTCATGTGGTGAAAATTTATGAAACATGCTCAAGATATACTCTATGGTTAGTCAGCATATCACTGTAGATGATTTTAGAGTATCTGACCTTGAAATTTTAAAAAAGAAAATCTCTCTAATGGAAGCAAAAGATGGATCTTTGCTTTGTCAAAACTTTCAATTTTACAATTTAAAATAACAAGGTCCTTTTCGGTTCAGCCATAACCACAGCTATAATCAACACCAGACATCAAATCTATTCATTCAACATTGAGATAAATTAAATGAGATTAGTATGTCAGGTAAATGAGAAATATTTTCCCTTGTATATGAAAGCTCTGGGGTGGCAACAGAATTTCATCTTGGTCATATTCTGAAATGAATAAATAAGACACAAGGCATTATATTATCAAGCTTGCCAAAGACAAACCAGAAGCTTGCTTTTTAAAATAACTATGGAATGTGCAGTACAGAGACAGTGGCATATTTTGTTCATAAAATTCTGTGAAAATAAATAAAAATTAAATAGACTACTAATATATTTGTGGTGCTAAAAAATAGTTAAATATTTTCTGTTCAAGGTTTGGTGAAATTAAATAGCTCTATGCCCTTTCCCCATATCTGTGCTATTCTCAAGGACAAAGTGTTGTACTATTCTTATAATTTACTCTGAAAAGATATTTATTTCTAAAATGACCTACTACCCAACGCTCATATACAGGTCATATTTCAGAATGAGGTAAACATAGATGTGAATAATAATAGTGAATAGTGCTGCATTAGTAATTTTTTGAAACAGCCTATGAAAAAAAATTGATTATATTATTGTTTGAAGATATGCTTTGCCACTCCAGTCACTGAGAACCTACAGGTGGGAATGTGATATTTAACTTCTCTTGAATACTGAGAACATCTTTAGCACAATGTATCCGGGGGAGTATTGAATACCCAAACTCAGCAATTCAAGAATAAGCACACATTTTCACAGGTCTTATCTGGGTTGTTTTCCTCTCTCTCCTCCTGAAAACTGAACCAATTTTATGGTTCTACACAGTCAAGTTCTATCTGTTGTCACCATCAACCGTTCTTCATTCAAATAGAACAGCCTCTGTGGCTTGGTTTCCTGCCTGTCTAGGTGATAGAGTATGATAGCATTATCTGAAGCTATAATGACACAATGACTTTGAAAGGGAATGTTTAGAAAAAAAGAATGTGTGTGAAACTACTATTGCAGTTCAAGGAAAAACAATGAGAGATTATAAAACCTCAGCAATGAGCATATACAAACTTTAGAGAATAGGAAAAAAGCAGGGCTTGGGGGGAGGCGTGTGCTACTGGGATAATTACAGCAATGCCAAAATTCATACCAAAGAAAACCTAGACAGTATTTTCCCACGTACACTGTCTTAGTTCATTCTCCCTATCATTTTGTGTGAAATTATTCCATTGGTTTGACAGACAGAAACTGAGGTTTTATGTCAGTTAACTCTTCTAGGCAAGAGTTTCTGAGGTGTGGACATACTGGTGAGGGATGATTTTAGTATCAGGTCACAGAAGAACCACAGTAAGCTAAAAAGGGAAAGCTGACTTCTTGTCCCAATTGCTAAACAAAATGCTCAGCAAAAGGATCCAGAATGCTGCTGGATCCGCTCCTGAAGTCTCATTGTGATCCAGCAGGCAGGCTTGGAAGAGATCATTTGGCTAAGTAAAGGGGAAAAGTTCTATCACTTATAATATTGAAATATATTACTCGTTTTCAGATCCTAAAGGACAAAGAACATGTCAGAAAATAAAAACAATTTTCCCTAATCAAATGGCTTAATCTTGTCTATTGAATATATACAGAAATGATGAGTTTCAATATACCAGTAACTTTAAAAACATTTGTTTTTCTAATGTTAAATAGAAATATACAAGAAGAAAGTTCTCTGGTCAATTCTCACATGAAACTTGATTTTAATCCCTTCCTAGTAAGACTATATCACTTGAAAAGAAGCACAGTTGAGCATCATAGTTGTATAGCCAAAACGTCAAAAAAAAAAAAAAAAAAAAAAACAAGGCTTATGAGAACTTTTGCTCTTCAATTGATTTTTTAAAAATTCTATGAGGATGCAATATACTGACTGGAACTAATTTTTTCTCATTTGGAGTTAAGTTTTCAATTTTATAGCAATATGAACAGGTGGTCCTTATATGTCAACAGGTTATGTATGTATGTTGGACACATATATTAAATTACTTGGGTGGTTAAGTCATGCTCCTAATATGTTTAAAAACAGAGACTTTAGAAAATGAGTTCATGGCTTTAAATGCTAAAAATATTTTGTACATATCACTCATATTATTAGATGTGATCATATAAACTTAGCATTTTAAAAGCTTTTTGTGTGCATGCCTTTGTGTGTGTGTGTGTGTGTGTGTGGCTTTAGGTATGGAATCCATGGCTTTACTCACAGTAGGCCAGAGCTCTATCATGGAGCCACACATCAGTCATAACAGAGCTATTTCTTTGAGGTTCTCTTTGAATTTTCAAATAAGAGGTAATGGTTTATCATAAACAAGCTGTAAGTACTAAAAATCATAATTCATCCATGTTAAATGCTCTACTTTCAAATTATTTTTCATCAGACTTACATTTTTACCATTTGTTCTATTATGGTTTTAAATATAAGAAAAAATAGTGTGCATCAATGGCAAAGTTAAATGTACTGAGTGATAGAAATTTTTTTTTCTCCTATCTCATTATTTTCATTTCTCAGATAGTCAAAGCAATGAACAAGAGAAAGGTTACACCTTCCAGAAGTTGTAGTCAGTGTTACCTTTGATCATTCACAATGCTTCTTTTGACTTTAATCTTGTCCTCTCCCGTGCTCAGGTGAAAACTATAAATACAAATACACATAATCAGCATCAATCTCATCCACCATATCGTCAACAACAAAATTAGGGGGAGGAGACAGGAGGAGGGAAAACAGATTTTCTAAGCCAGTATTTCCAAATGTGTGTTCTGAGGTTCTAGATTCTTCTGTAAACCCAGGCAACTGTGTGCTCTTGCATTTTAGAAGAAAAAAGAATTGGAGATGTTCTGAGAAGGAACCTACTTTAGTGTGTTGAATAATATATATTCTGAATTTACTGACAACTGACTGCTTTTTTGTGTTATTGTGTCTCTTAGGTCAGACGAATGTATGTTTCAGGGTTGCAAAATATACTTCAGAAAACTAGTTTCAGCTATAAAACCATGAAAATAAGGCACAGAGGGGAATATATGGACAATACTATTTTCTAGGAATTTACTGGAGTATTTAATAGAAAAATAGTGAAAGGGCATTTTGAAATGCTAAGTTGCAAACTATAGATGTCTTATTTTGTTAAAAAAAAAAATTCTCCAAACTGAGGTGTTTGCAAACTAGGGGACACTCTATGTGATCCACCGGAGTATGAGAAGAAACTAACAGAACTAGTATGTGTATTTAATTATCCTTTTAATTTTTGACTTATTAGAATAGATATTTATTTACATATATATGTATATATATATGTATATATGTGTGTGTGCATATACACACACACGAATACATACACACAGAATTTAGGTAAATTTAGAGAATTTTTTTTCTCAAATAATTCAGACATTTACCTGATATTAACCACATAAACAGTGTAGTTCCAATTCTGGAAGGTTGAATTGAGCTGAAAAACACAAAAGGCTAAGTTTGGGTAACTCTTTAGAAAAATGAATCCAATTTCTTACCTCCCCAAAGATAAGCTGTATGTATAAGATCCTGGGAAAATCATAGAGAGCTAGAGAAGTGAATGAAAAAGGTAAGAGATACCAGATCACTGTTCCCCTGAGTCTTGATAAATGCTGTTTCTTTCAGTCCTCACAATATATCCACCCCCACCACACCCCATCACCTTATTTATGAAAAAAATGGAGTTCTGCAGACATGACAGAGTTTGCCCAGGGTCACCCAACTAGGAAGTGGCAGATCCCACACTGGAATATTCAAGTTTTCTTTAGCCCATATTGTGATATGAAGTGTACTACAAAAACACCTTTCTTTTCATTCATTTAATAATCACTGAGGTACAACAGAACATGTTTTCTAATAACTAACACCTCAAGAATATTAGTAATAAGACAAATTACAAATTAATATAAATCTTCAAAAAACAATAAAATATGTTCAACATTATTGGAACTAAACTAATTTCATGTGGTTATTTAATAGTCTTAATGGAGCTCAGTACAAGATTTATGATTGAAAGCAAGGATTCCCTTCAACATGAACAACAAGCTTTGGTGATGTGGCATCCACCACAACTGCAAAACAGGATTTATCTACCAACATGAGGTTTTCCTACTTACATAACACTTCCCAGGGGTTTTTAAGTCTTGTTTCATATATACACCGGACTTCCTTATAAGCATTTCTAAAATTGAATGAAATTTTAGAAAATACTGGCAAAAAGTACTTAATCATTTTAAATTATAAATAGTAATACAAGTTGAATGTCACTTATCCTGCCAGAAGTATCTCAGATTTCATACATATTTCAATTTTGGAATATTTTCAGGCTTCACTAATCTTATAATCACAAAGACATACTTTAGATTTTGAATTTTTCAGACACTCAACGTATAATATGACTTGTGGAAAAAATTTGTATCTTCATCATCAAGCATCTGCTTTTGGTAGCTTATATCTTAAGCCAAGCTGTCCAATAAAAAGCTTAGCTTCAGATGAATATGATGTTACCAAACCATGCATGAAGTAAATGTAAAATTATACTTTGTCTAGCACAAACTTTCCAGTGAATGCTTTCAGGATTAATAACATTGCCAGTTGCTTGAGAATGAAAATAAGAAATTTTATATTTTGAAATCATTCTGACTTTAAACAAAATATAAAGAACAATACTGTGCCCGGTGTGGTGGCACACACCTTTAATCCTAGTGGCTCAGGAGGCTGAGACAGGAAGATCAGGAGTTCAAAGCCAGCCTCAGCAAAAGTGAGACACTAAGCAACTCAGTGAAACTCTGTCTCTAAATAAACTATGAAGTAGGGCTGGGGATGTGGCTCAGTGGTTGAGTACCCCTGAGTTCAATCCCTGGTACCCAAAAAGAAAGAAAGAAAGAAAAAAGAACAATGCTGAAAGAAAATGGAATTCAAGTATGTACTCTATTTTGTAGAGCCCATTTAAAAATTAAATGCAACTCCTAAGGTTGAATTAGTTAGGATGTTAATGAGTCATTCTAGAAAAGTTAACAGTGGCCTTTTCTTTAACTTCTATTAAAGAATTTCACTCTCCCCACCAATTTTGTAACAGAATTGTTAATTACATACTATTATTTCCTATGGTCAATTTGTCTTAAAGAGTATTGTCTTTAAAAAGAAGTCCATTTTCTATCAGTTATTCTCCAAATGTATGTATATGTACACTTACATCTCTGTGTGTATGTCTGTGCATATGTATTTTTTCACCACTACCTCTAAATTGTTGTTTTAACTATTTTTGCTATCAATAGCATTTATCAGACACCTAGTACATAAGAAAATCCATTTTCTTACTTCAGAATATATATGTTGATGATTCTATCCATACAAAGGGCTAAAGTTTGAACTGTACTGCATTATGTAGAAAAAGAAGCACCAAGTCTCACAGCATAGAATCCATGAAAAATGAAATTTCTAAGTATGGAAAAGAGAAAAATTGAAAAAATAGGCTCTGTTTGCAAGAGAGATAAGAAAACTACTAAAATTTTGAAAATTTGAAACTTTCAAATTGTCCATCAGTAGGATATTGGTTAAATAAATTATATCCTAAGTGCGCATCAACAGAAAACTTGTTAAATAAATAACTAGACAATCACATAATTAAACATACACTGTTTAGAAACATTCTCCTATACTAACCCTGGCAACCACAATGGTACTTAAACTCTATTAGTTTTAGTGTAAAAATGAAGGAAGATAAGAATTTACAGTGTTATTTTCTTTTATGTCTACAAAGAGCTCTAGAGAGCACTCCAAAAACCTAACAGTGATTCCAAGCAGAGGGGTCTCCAGGTGGAGGAGTGGCAAGGAGGAAGGAAACAATTTCATGATAAGTCATCGTGTAAGTTTTGGTTTTGACTAAACAGTCAAATAAAAAAATAAGAAATCTATTTTTTTAAAACTTAGCTGAAAACATATAAAGCTAATCATAAGTAATGATACCTACCAAAATCTACTGATGTGCTAACTTATTTAGGAAATTTATAGTCTGTAGGCTCAGTTTCATGGCCTTTATTCATTATGCATAAGCATATCTTGCTTATTACATCTATTAATATATTTATAATGAACAGTATCTGTGTTTTAGTATGATCTGTGGATTCAGTTACCCAGAATCTTTTTCAAATTTCCAGAAGTTAAAGGTTTAAAACAAACAAGAAATTTTTCAGGTTCACTTACCCATTCTGCCACCTTGCTCTGTACCTTGACCTCAGGGTGACGAAGGATATTTTGAATCACTATGGATATTCTATATATAATTCCATCTGCCCGTTGGAAATAGGGTTAATCCATTAATTATATTTTATAGTCATATAAAACAACATTAATCACATAATTTCATACAAGTTCAAAGAAATGCTTGTTATGGAGTCATAGAAAATTTATGAAATATTTTGAGGTAACATTTACTGTCTTTTGCAACTTCTTAAAAATAAATATCAGTTTGCTCTTACAGAGGATTCATTGCTCCCAAATCATCTCTAGAATAGGACCTTTGCCAGGCTTGCATGTTTATTCAGAATTTTTAGCTGTATAGATTTCTGGTATCTACCATCCATAAAATGATAATTTGATTTATCAAAGCAAGAAATCACGTTTTGTACACTATAAAGAATAATCAAGAGTCACTTGATTATTGTGATACTTGAATGAGATGATGGACAGATAGCTTAAAAACATCAGGCACACACATATTTGCTGCCCTTAAACTCTTCTCATTTCTTGCTAATCTCTCTCCCCAGTAAAACATTGACATCTACAAAACTATTGGGTTGGATGTCACCAGGTTTTTCATTAAAACTCTTAAATATAGTCATCATGCCAAAGTAGAGAGAGAAAAAAAGAGTATTTGCAGGCAGGCAGACTTTTAATTGGTCTAACTTCTTTTAAAAGAAAATTATATAGTGAAAAGGGACATGGTTTTTCCTTTAGGGGCAATCTTTAAAGTAGTCTGATTTTTTTTTTCCTATGAAGAACTGAACTCACCAGCAAGAGATTGCTAAATCTCTCTTGCTTGTACTTAGGATGCTTGACCCAAAGAATCTAATGAGGAAAATATTACTTTAAAATATGGTGTGCTATAGAAAGAAGGAAAATTTTTGAATAATTTTGTCCATATCTTTCTTCATGCTTTGTTTAGCAAAGGGTCTTAAGTAAAATACACATAGAAAATACAGAAATGTATAATTAAAACAATGTTGAGGAAGATATTTAATTAAAAATTGTGGAAAGGCAGTAGAAAAAAATATATGTATGCTTCTGAAAACTCCCAAATCTACCAAAATGCAAATTCCAGTCCCATTAGTTAAGGAATGTCTTTCCAGTAAAGAAGTCAGTTTCACACTAAATAATATGAACTACCAATCCTGGATATAATAATGTAAATATATACCACTGGGATAAGGCAAAAAAAAAAGTGAGTTTAATTTATGCAAATGGGGTTATTTCAACTTCTAAAACTCTTCAGATATTTTAATGAGGTATTTTAATGGTCTTGATTTTATATTCTTTTAAAATATGTTCTGAATGAAAAAATACCCAAGGAGGAAAATTACAATAAATGACAACAATTTAAACAACAACAAAACCTTTCATAGTGTAGATCCATCATCTCAAATCATGAACATTCTGATAGGAAATTCAAGTTGCAAAGGTCCAAGAGATCCTAGGGATCCCATGTGAAAGTTCACCAAGGTTTGGAGAGTATCTAAAAAACTACCACTAGATGGAGCCCTGAAGCACTTTTTTTTTTTTTTTTTTTTTTTTTTTTTTTTTTTTTTT